CAGAGCTACACGGCGGGGGGGGGTTACGTCGTACCATCCCCCGCCGGCCCCCCTACCCCGTGACGTCCGTGATCGCCGAAAGTAAAGAAACGCTCTCGAATGTAGTCGTCGAAGCCGGAGAAGATCCCTTCGACCGCGCGAGGCTTGAAATCGGGTCTCTGGGGCGCCTTCAGGCGCGCGTTCACCTAGGTGGCGAACGCCACCTTCGTGAAAATCGGTTTCCCTTGAGCTGCCCGTCTCCACACGAGCCGTTCGACGTTCACTGCGAACGGCCCAAAGCATGTGGGTAAACTGCTCGCCGCGAGCAACGCCCGCGCCGTTTGCCTGATCAGGCCTACAAGCCTCTCCGCCAATCAGTTTGCCGCCGCATCATGGTCTTCAGTGGTTGCGAGGTTGATCCTGTTTTCGGCACCTCACTTCTCCAGCTGCACGTTCGCGAACTCACCTCCGCGATCAGAGTGTACCCTCAGATCCACATTCGCCTCGTGCGTGGCATTCACGTGCGCCACGACATGCTGAAGCTTCACCAGCGTCTCCGACGCCTCCTCCGTGCGCAGCAACTTGATGTACTGCTTCTTGTCAATCACCTCCTTGTGTTCGACGTCACTCTTGCTGCCCTCCGTCAGATTTAGGTCTCGCTTGACCGTCGCCTCGCGCTGCGGTCGAAACAGTGCCACAAAGAAGTAATGATAACCTCCAGCACTTTGCGCGACGTGCCCAACCCCACGTCCTTCGACGTGAGGGCCAGACACAGCGAATGCAGAACTCCTTCAGGCAGCTCCGCTGTATCGACTCGATAGCGCGCCCGTCTGCGACCCAAGTTTTGCACGCAGTCCGGGCACCCGGGATGGTAGGGTACATGCCCATTCTGACAATGCTCTGCCAGACTCACCGCGCAAGCCTGGCTTTCGCACATCTTCTGGATCTGATCATACGTGCGCCTGGCCACGTAAGGTACTCCTCCTGTCAGGATGACTTCGAAGTCCTCACCAGTAGCCAGGCTTTTCAGAACCACCCCGTCCATGTTGTATTGCATTTCGAATTGTATGTATTGCTATATTTTCCCAAAGCCATGATCGGCTTCAACTAGTCGCAGCCCTTGACCGTCTCGACCCACCGTCTCGCCGTCGGTGGCCATCTTGCCGCGGCACAAACCAACTGCCAGTTGGACTGTCACTGGAAGTTGACCCTCCTCCGATGCTCGAGGCTGCAACGTCTTTATCTCGTGGGTCGCCCCAGAATCGAGCAAGATGAGGTCCATCTCTGTCTGTGCTCCAGATGCCGTCGACCGGCGCATTGCCAGCTGCCCTTGCAGCCAGTTTCGTGGCACCGGGTGCAGTTGCCCTTCCCACGAAGGTATTTGGCGAGGGCGATGGATGTTGGTTTCCAGAAGGCTTCTTCGCGTCCGACGCGATCTGGTCTTTTCTCGGCTTCGTCGGGGCTTGGCAATCCTTCGACTGACGCTCCGTGAGTCCGCACGTGAAGCACCGGCCAGGACCACCTTCAGCTTCTCGTGCCTGGACGGGCAATACTGTCCTCGCTCGCATTACTCAGCCGCCATGAAAGAGCTGCACACCTTTTTGGCGTTCCCAGCGCCGTTGCCCTTCTTGCCCCTGGCTCTTCCCTTGACGACGCCTAAGGCCATGGCCAGCGGCCTCTTCTCTCTGGGCGCTTGGAAATTCGCAGACCTATTGACCAGCTCGCGGGACGCGCCGAGCAAGTACTTCCAGAAGGCAAGGACTTTGTTGTTGGTATTACGCAAAGTCGCCAGCCGGAGACAGCCGGCATGTTGTTGGCATTGACGGAAGATGCATGGAATGGAAGACGGGGAGCTGGCCGGTAAACTCGTTAATGGAAGACGGCATGTTGTTGGTATTAACCAAAGTCGACAGCCAGAGACAAAATTCCGGGCACTGCTTCTCCAATCGCCCAACCATCTGTCTCAAGCCACGGTTCAATAATGTGGAATTGGGCCGCGCAATGCGGAGCTCGCCCACTCTCGACCACGATCGCTTCCACTCAACGATTCGTCCGCCGATGTAGCCACTCTCGGATACTGCAAGCTGTTGATCGTGGTCTGCTTGTCGTCCATTCCGCAAGGATGGCCCTCGATGCAAGCCTCCTGTGAGTGGCAGCAGCTGGAGTACTGGCCCTGCGCGTCGGCAGGCCTCCTGCAAGTTTCAATGCAACGCTCAACCTGTAGTCCCTTTTGCAAGTAGCTGGGTATAGCCGCCATGAGCAGGGGCGTGATCTTCAGGTCCAACTGCTTTTCAGATTCTCCTTGGCGTGTGCTTTGATTCTCAGCGAGGTCCTCTCTGCGAGCCCCATCAAAACGTACTGCTCATGCATCTGCTCCACTAGGTCCACCGAGGCAGCCCAGAACTCGCTGACCGCGGAGCCCATGCCAACCAGCTCGACGGTAACCTGCCGCTGCCAATCCTTGAACGTCTGCGCGCGGTTCTCCCGCTCCGTGAACGCGAGCTTAGGCAGTGTCAGCTTCATCAGTCCATCGACGGTGAGCTTGTCCATGCCCCTCTCCACCAAGCTTGCGCCCATGAAGTGCGATGCCAGAAGGCGGCAAGTACATGGGCTGCTAATTTCGGTGGCGCCGCCGAAACCGACAACTTTTTACCGACAATTGTTGGTTTTTCCTGTTCGCCCGCCGTGATCAGATCAATGATCTCGCACTTGATCACGCCCTGCAAGATCCTGCCCAGCTTGCCTTCCCCTCTCGGATCGAAGTGAGGCTCCTCCTTTGCTGGCTCAGGTTCCTTTCGGGGTCCACCTTCCTGCTCCTGGTCCTGGCCGCCATGATCTTAGAACGGTGCTTCTCAGACATCGGCTCCTGGTGTTCCTTCAGCCTCCTCCTGTCCAGCATCTCCATCTGCACCCTGCCCAGCGCGGTCAGATGCAAAGCCCCGGATGGGCCCGCAGGTGGACGGCGCCTGCGCCTGGGCGGCACGCATTGGGCCCTCGCTGCACCTCCGCAGAGCTCCTCCGGCGCTCCTCGCTCTCCGTCTCCAGTGTCGGGCCGTCGTCACCATACTTTGGATGTTTTGTCTTGATCACGGGGAGGGTGATTCCTCCAGATTTCGTAATAAAGGGAGGGGGGTCTCATTTCGGGGGGGGGGGTCTCTTCCAGGCTATCCTGGAGGGCCTGGGGGGTCTGGGGACGATGCTTTGGAGGGTCCTCCCACGGGGGAGGTCTGAAATGGCTTGTCTTGGAGAGTCGCCCTGATCACGAACTCGGGCGCGTGCTCGAGGCCTCCAGAGGGCGCCGACGCCTAGGGTGCTCGCGGTGCCGGGCGCCGACGCCGGGGGGGCCCGCGGTGCCAGCGTAGGCCAGCCGCCCCGAGGGCCAGCTGGCCCCGAGGGTCCAGATTTCGTAATGAAAGGGAGGGACCCCCTCCCTTTCATTACGAAATCTGGAGTAGCCTTCCGACTGAGCCCTGCCAAATCCCGCCCCCCCTCCGGGGCCTCAGGCGGGCCGGGCAGGCGGCCCCCTCCAGACCTCCCGCGGGGCCCCCCTGGCACAGGCCCGCGGCGCCCTTCTGCCTGGGCTGCGCGGCGTGCTGCCGGAGCGAAGAGCGGACGGGCATCTCGTCCGCAGCACGGGGCCCGACTTGATGGACCGATTTTCCACCACCACTGCCACAGGCAGGAGAGAGGAGGAGGAGGAGGAGGAGGAGGAGGAGGAGGAGGAGGAGGAGGAGGAGGAGGAGGAGGAGGCGGAGGAGAAGGAGAAGGAGAAGGGAGGAGGGAGGAGGAGGAGAGGAGGAGGAGGAGGAGGAGGAGGAGGAGGAGGAGGAGGAGGGAGGAGGAGGAGGGAGGGGGAGGGAGGAGGAGGGGGCGGAGGGAGGAGGAGGGAGGGAGGAGGGAGGAGGGAGGAGGGAGAGGAGGAGGAGGGAGGAGGAGGAGGAGAGGAGGAGTAGGAGGAGGAGGAGGAGGAGGAGGAGGAGGAGGGGTTGGAGGAGGAGGAGGAGGAGGAGGAGGAGGAGGAGGTGGAGGAGGAGAGGAGAGGAGGAGGAGTAGGAGGAGGAGGAGGAGAGAGGAGGGAGGAGGGACGAGGGACGAGGACGAGGGAGGGAGGAGGAGGAGGAGGAGGATGAGGAGGAGGAGGAGGAGGAGGAGGAGGAGGAGGAGGAGGAGGGGAGGGAGGAGGAGGAGAGAGAGGAGGAGGAGGAGGGAGGAGGAGGAAGGAGGAGGAGGAGGAGGAGGAGGAGGAGGAGGAGGAGGAGAGGAGGAGGACCTCCTCATCCTCCCTTCTCCCCCTTCCTGCGCACCGTAGTGGTGGTCGCAGGGCGCGATGGCCGCGACGACTCCTTGAGGGCTCCGAAGGAGAGGCCTCTCGAGAGCACGTCGCCCCCACAGGCCGCCTGCGGGGCAGCTGCAGCCCGGGCCTGCGGGCGGGAGAGGATGCTCGAGCGGAGGAATCCTTTGGGGATCGGCAGGGGGGCTCGTCCCCTGCAAGGTCGTCGGGGGCCTCGGGAGCACTTCCGAGCTTGGCCTGTCCAGCGCTAGGTGATCCTCGAGACCTGCACATGGAACACCGTGGCATCGAGGCGTGCCAGAAACCAGATGGGGATCGGGAAGGAAACGGGAATCATGACGATGCGGAGGAGGAGGAGGAGGAGGAGGAGGAGGAGGAGGAGGAGAAGACGGAGGGGATGGGAGGAGGACGAGGAGGAGGAGCAGGAGGAGGAGGAGGACGCGAGACGAGAGGAGGTGGAAGGAGGAGGCGCAGGAGAGGGAGGATGAGGACGACGAGCTCGAGGGAGTGGAGCAGGAATGAGAAGGACCAAAGGCGGAAACAAGATGAAGCAGAAGGAGAAGAGGGGACGAGGAGGGAGTCAGGAGGAAGGATGCGGGGGCCGGAGGATCATCAAAGCGAGGAGGAAGGGTGAAGCAGGAGGAGGACCAGGAAGAGCAGGAGTATAGCACGGATAAGGGTAAGGAAAAAGAGGAGGAGCAGCAGCAGGAGGAGGGGGACGATAATGAAGGCCATGGCTTGCTTCGACCGCGCCTACGTGGACCTCGACACCGAGGACTACGTTGTTGACAGGCTCCTTGTGTAGCGCATGGTGATGAGAGTGGTGGTACTGATATTGACGGCCATGACCATGATAATGGTGGTCATGACGACGACGGGATGATAACCATTGCGACGACGATGGTGACGACGATGGTGATAATGAGGATGGCAATGACGATGCCGTCGGCGACGACGAGCATATGGAGGGTGATGGTGGGGACGTCGATGGTCATGACGATGACGCTGATGACGATGATTGACGATTGTGGTCATGATAGTCGTGATGACGATGACGATGGCGTCGGCGACGACGAGGCTTCTGGTCCAGCAGCTGGTGATGAAGGAGAAGAGCCACGAGGGGTGCCCCGCATAATTAGCAGGCCGGCGCTGCCAGGCTGCGCATGCCCAATGCACGCATCATTATGAACCCGGGCAGGGGGCGCCCAGGCGTGGGCGAGGGAGGCCTATGCCCCCTCCACCCCCTCCCCGGGCTTATGCCCAAAAGGAATCCCACTTGCAGAACTCGGGGGCGGAAAGAGGGGGGTGATGACTGGGGGGGGTGGATATCATGGCGGGGGCCATAATTTTTCCCCTGATTTCATGGCGCCTCTTCTTACTTCATTACGTCCCTGGCCCCCCCGCTGGGCCGCGCACATGCCGCCGGTCATGATTTGCACCCCCCCCTCTTGGACACTCCCCTCTTGGCCGCTCCCGAAGACCACATGAACTGTCAAAGGGCCGCGCGGACTTCTCGGATCTGCGTTGGCCCCCCCCCCGGGCAACGCCTCCGGCACCGCCCCAGGTGCGCTTCGCTCACCAGGGACGGGGGCCCAGCGCCGATCCACGAGCTCCGCGCGGGCCTCCGAACGTTCACGGTTGTGCCGACTTCGCCGCTCCATACGATTCGACATGGTGATGATCTGATCACGGTTATCATGAGGTGGGGGAGGAGGGGGAGCTGGGGGAGGAGGGGGCAGGCGAAAATGAAGACACCAGACGTACAGTGGCGCACAAAAACGAGACACCGGCTGCCATGAGCAGAGAACAGTCCATTCCATTCGATTCGAATCCGTTCTTGCCGCCCAACCCTCTCGTGTCTGCTGCCCTTCCCAAGGCCCAAATCCACTCGAGATTGCTCCCTGGGCCCTCCACGGAGCCCATTCTGGGTCATGATTTGACGGAGGCGAACTTGGCAGAAGCCTCCTAGACGACGACGCCGACGATCCTTCCGACCGCATCCTTCTCCACCCCCACCTATGCAATATGAGTACTGCCCCTCCCCCCCCCAAGACGGCCCGAGTCGGCCGCCTCTCTCCCCGTATTGCGTTTTGTGCAGGAAGTGGGCCCCCGGCGGGTTTTTCCAGTCACAGTGCTTCCCTTCAGGGGTTAGTTGTTCCTGTGGGGTGAGGGCCCAGACCCTCTCGCGTTATGACATACAATCACGACGGGAGGTTTGTCTTGTAATGTTCCAGCCCCTTGTAGCCTTAACCACCAGAAAGAGTTTCGAGCATCAAGAAGGCACCGAAACTGGAGGGTTTTCGCGTGCCGGGCCCTGGGAGGCGATACTCGTTCGACACTGTTTCGATGTTTTTCTGGGTGCTCGAAATTAATCTGGGATTAGGTCCTTAATTTCGATGGGGGCAACATAAGGTTTGTCGTTATTTTCGGCCTCCAGGGGCCCTTCCTGGGGCTCGGGGCCGTCAGGAAACGACTCAGGATGAAAGCCGTTCCCAGGGAAGGGGCCCAGACTTCTCGGGGGCGGCAAAAAGGGAGGTGATGACTGGGGGGGGGGAGATCATGGCGTGGGCCATGATATTCCCCTAGGTTTCATGGCGCCCCTTCCTATTTCATTTCGGCCCTGCCCCCCCCCCCCCGGGCCGCGCACACACGCCGCCGGCCATGGTTTGCGCCCACCCCTCTTGGACGCCCCCCTCCTCGGCCGCCCCCGGACTTCTGGGGATCGATGGTGCGATACATAATCGTGCTGTCGGGGGTCTTCAAGCAGCAGCGAAGCGCCCTTGCGTGCCTGTAGGCCCACCGAACAATTTTCTGAGAACCTGTTGCGGTTTCCACGGGGTGGTCTTGGAGCATGTTTGGCTGGGACTGTCTCGTTCTAACACATTCGGGCCGGGCGAAAGGGGGGGATTGGGAAAGGGGGGGTTACGAAATTTGCTGCATGCAGCTGGTTTCGGCCTCACCGAGGGGCCCATTCCTCGATACATGGCCGCCTCCCGGCGCCAGGAGGCGCCGGGAAAATCAGCTACGTGAGCTGATTCTCAAACCCCCCTTTGCTATCCCCCCCTTTCGCCCGACCCGACACATCGGGAATATGTTCTAAGAACTTTGTTTTTGTTTTTAGATTTTTTTTTCGGCTCTACGACCATTTCGTGGGGGCCTGGGGGAACCGGGCGGGCGCGGCGGGCCCGTGCCGCCCCGTGGGCGCCGCACGGGCACCTTCCGCGCTCTGTCTCCGGCCGTCTTGGGGGCCCTCTTGGGTCATGTGGGGACCTCTTGGAGGACGTTGGGCCGTCTTGGGGCGATCTTGGGAGCCTCTTGGGCCGTCTTGGAGCGTCGGGAAGCGGAAGAGGCGAGAACGCCAACATGTTTCAAAGACCTCATGGATGTGTACCTCGTGGGGTTTTCCGGGGGAGTGTTCCTGGATGCCTCTGGGGGCGTCTTGCAGGCCGCATGGGTCGTCTGGGGGCTGTCAAGTCAGATCGTTCGGTGACTCGGGGCCCTCTTGGACCGTCTTGTGGGCCGCTTCGGGCACTCTTGGCCCGTCCTTGGGCTTTTTGGGGACTCGGGACCCCCCAGCGGGGAGGCGTATCCCCCCCAGGGAACCCCCCTGGGCCCCCTGCCCCCGGGACCCCCCCCCCCGGACGAAGGAGGAATCAAATGGAAGGGGCTTCCCTTCGACTGAATTACGACGTTGCTCAATTTCGCGTTGGCTGGCGCGCTTGACGAGGAGGGCCCAGGAAATGGGGAGGAACGGCGACGGGCCCAGGGAAATCGGGGCCGCAGGGACAGGGGACGACAGAGACGCTGACGAATGAATGGCGGAGATGACGACTCGAACGGACAAGCCCTCCTACGCACGCTGACAGGGTCGATGGATTCTTTCTCTCAGAGCGTGAATTGCCTACCCCCGCTTTCGCCTCGAGGCAAAACCAAGTCATATCACGCGCCACCTCAGAGGGAGGTTCAAGAGGGTGAGGAAAGGGGCAGCGGGGGGGAAGGGAAAGGAAGAAAAGGATGGGCAAGAGCAAGGAGCAAGAGGAGGGAGGTTGATGATGCGGTGCGCGGCTTCGCAGAGCGTGCGGCTTCGCAGCAGGGACGGACCAGGAGAGACGAGGATGGACGAGAAGGAGGAGGGACGAGGAGGGACGAGGGCGAGGAGGGACGAGGAGAGAGACAGCATCCTCATTCTCTCCTCGTAGGCCTCTAGTCCTCTCCCGGCTCGGCCGGGGGCCGCGCATCGTGCCTGCTCCGCCGCTCGCGCTCCGAGCGCAGGCGCGGCAGGGAGGAGGCCTGGGATTGTGGATTGCCAGAGGCGTCCAGGGGCCCAGGGCGCCCCGCTGGCACAAGGCGCCCCTCTTCCTCTTCCTTCTCCTCCGCACTCCTGGCTCCTCCTCCTCCTCTCCGCCTCCGTTCTGCCCTCCTTCCTCATCCTCCCTCTCCTCCTCCTTTTCCTCCTCTTCCTCGTCCTCCTCGCAGCTCCCTTGCCCACGCGATGTCGCACACGGGGCTGGAGAGAGCCGGTCCAATATCGAACAGCCCTCGCTGTGGCGGCCCCGGCCAGACACACCTGTACTCAGCTAGTAAATCTCGTTATCGGATATCTGTTTCTGGTGACCCTTGCAGAATCGCATTGGAACTCCAAGAGCGCAGGAGATGCTAGGTTACGAGATGTCTGTGAAGAGTTCAGACATGTGGATCTCATCGCTGGCACAACTAGTGGAAAACGAGCGAGTCCTGATCGCCCCACAGCCTTTACGAGCTTGAAGTACCACATTGCCCTACGATGTGGTTATGCCCCGAGGCAACGCGTGATCAAATCCTGTGGACGCGCGCTGCTACTGAGGCGGAGCATTCAAACGCAAGGACGGGGTCGACGTCAATGCGGCCCCTGCCGATATGCAAGGGCGTGTGACTGTTTTGCGATTGAGATCAAGCCGCTTGGACCCCCACCTACTTGTCCCGTGCTTCCCGCCGAAAACCCTTTCTCGTCGTGTGGACGCGAGTGTGTTGACCAGACGGCCCAGGCAAACCACCGAGCTATGATGAACGCCGTGTGTCAGTGGATAAAGAAAGTGCTCACGCGGTCCCGGCGGCGTTCATCTTAGATCTGGGGGGCTGATCTGAATGACTCTCTCGGTTTGCGCCGTTGTGCTGGGAGTGGGCAGTCGAGAGTGGATTCGAATGCGATAGGTGCCTACGCGCGGAACGAGCATCACTACGTTGCGGACCAGGTCCTCCGCCTGATGGACAAGTATCCGGTGGTGGCCGTTACGATTTCTCACCCTTATGATGATTCTACCAACTTCAGCCTTCGATCACCAGAAAAAAAAATCGAACACAAAAAAGTACCGGGACTCAAGGGTTTTCACGTGCCAGGCCCTGGGAAACACTCGCCCGACACTGTTTCGATATTGCCCCGACGCTCTTTCGACACTTTTCCGGATGGTCGAAATGATTTATGGGATGCGTTTTTTTAAGGATGGGGACGGGTTTCATCTGGCGAGCGCCACAGACTATATCGCGATCTGCTCGTGATAAGCTCCGACGGTCATCCGTTGCGCAACCTTGAGAAGGCCAGACATGTCCCTGAAACTGGCTGGAGTGCGCGACCTGCCCGACACAGTGCCACTCTTGCTCGAGCTTGTCTACATGTTCGACTCGAGCGTGCGACAGACGCGTCTCCTCCGACGCGTGAATTCTCATCAGGTGACGAGATCGCTGCAAGTATGCGTTGGGGTTGCTGAGCGCATGGCCGACCTGAAAAATGTTCAGATGGTTGCCGGTTTGCGCGACCTCTTGCTGCGCGAGCTTGCCCCCGACACGGCGCGGGAGAAGTGGTGGGCCACCATGGCCTTCGAGACGGCGGAGCATCATCTTCCGGCGCAGGGAGTAGATCCGGGAGCGAGGGAATATTCACGTCCTCGGAGTCAGCTCTGCGAGACCGGCGGCGGGCGCGAGGAGATGGAGGCGGTGACTTGGCCTCTGCTCTCTGCTCAAAAAGTTGCGCGCTCTCAAGCGAGCTCACCAGGAAGACAACCGAAGCGTCGGCATCTGGGGTGGGCGAGGTCTGGAGGCAGCGTGCCTATGCAGAGGGTTGGCGACTCGCTCACTTCCTGGCTGGCCAAGGGTGGTGGC